TACAAAAACAACAAGATTTGGATAACTAAAAAAAAGTTACGTTCTCCAAATCCCCTGCTGTACATACCGTAACGTATCTGCCCACCGCTGCCACGGAGACACAGCAGAAGAACCATGAAGACGCATTCCTCAGTGATGTATTTCCAAAGTTCCAATCCCTTCAACCTGGCAAAAAACACATCATGCTAGGCAAAATTCACAAGCTCTCAACGGGACACATGCGACCATCGCACTCAAGGAACCAAGGTTTGATAAGAACCATCAATTCAAGGGCCAACCCAAAGGCTCCAAATGGAAACACAAATCGACGTCTTCAACCAAGAGGGACCCATCTGGATTTGAGTATGTTGAGGGGCAGAAGAAGAAACATGGCAGGCCAAAGAAGGTGGCCGAATTGGACGAGGGGCCCAAGTGCAAACCTGGGCGACCGAGGAAAAAAACCGGCCAAAGAGGATGAGATGGATGAGTCAGAGGTGTACATTGCTTATATCCATCTGAAGATTTTTTCTGCCTCTGATTCATTTTTGAGTAGGCCATGGAAACAGACAAAGAGAGTGAGGATGATGCTTCAGATGGAATTGGAGCCCTTTGTGAAAACATATTCACCGACGAGGAGCATTTGGAAGAAGAACACAAGCCACCAACTGTTACAAAACCCTTAAGAATTAGGCCAATCAAATTAGTCAAGCCAAAACCCAAACCCATCACCAAAGCAGACAAACCTGACAAAACTCCTTTGAGCAAGGCACTTACTTGGAGTACACACAAGAATATGGATATTGATCTTGTGAGTCACTCATTTTCCCATGAACTTACTCCTTTTTTTCATTGTTCATCCCCTCTGTTTCCCTCTTGAACTTTTGTTAGTATGGTGTATCAAGTTCTGCTGGGCACATGCCCAAGTTGGGCAAAAAACAAGCCAAGTGTGCTTGGCCGATCTCCAAGCGCGCGTGGCACACTCTAAAGTCACCTTGGCACTCTCCCAACCCCCGCTTGACACATGCCAAAGCTGGCGGGGGTCGGGACAAAGCCTCGCTTGGCCGAGCCCAAGCGAGGGTGCCACCTGCGCCAAAACCACCCACCACCCAAACTTGACCAAACGTGACTTCATGTCCATGGGATCTCACACCCATCGGAACAATTCTACAGCTACTTCTCTTCACCAATCTTTTGTCCCGTAACAAACATAGAGTCATGACCGAGAGCCGAAGAACCGATCATCGGAAGATGACACCTATCAAAGATTCTCCTGGAACACCTTCATGACCGTCGGCCTCAGCGGCTTTCAACACGGGCTACCGATCAAGGCTGTTGGCCTTGATTTTTTTGGTACCTGTGTCTGATGAGGTGATGAGGTGCAAATGGATGTCGATGGTCTGATTGGCCCAGAGCTTTGGGTCGGCCAAGTCAGACTTTGGCTTGTGCCAAGATCGGAGCCCCGCTCGCGTTGCCCAATCAAGCCCCCTGGGCACACTTCCAAGCCCCCGTGGCGCTCGGTCAAGCGGGACTTGGGATTGTGCCCAGTGTGACTTGATACACCATATGAGTACAACGACAGCATCAAGCCAGCAGGAGTAATACCACACATCTTACACGTTAACAACATCAAAGGCAATGGGAACTGTGGCTTTTGAGCGGTTGCGGTCAGCTTGGGCCGCAAGTCTGACAAATGGGACTCAATCCGCAAGGAAATGCAGAA